TGTAAATAATCATCGTCAGAGGATAAATAATCCGTTTGATGAGATGCTTGCTTTTTATTTTTATTCTGTTGAAAGAATGGGTAATTTTCACTACGATCCTGTGGAGGATGTGAATTAGTTTGAAAATTTACTGAATTGGTTGTTGCCATTGGGTTATCCCAATATCGAGATCTTATCTGATTATGATTATTTTTTCGGGGGGGATAGTTTGTTTTTGATGAATGTGTGTAATTATAATTGTGTTTCGCAAAATTGTTTCTTGTGAATGTTCTGCGTGTTTTTGACGGTATTGTCATGGGTCTATATGTTTGATAATCCATTTGTGAATATTTTGGAGCAACCGAAGGTTTAACGGTTGATTGTAAGGTTGCCTGTGCTATTGAAGTGTTTGTATTTCTTGGTGTTGTTAAATTTGGACGTATTGGTGAAATACTTTGTTGTGTAGTTGTTGTTGTTTGTACAATTTCTTCATTTATGAAGTGTGATGGTGTCTGAATATCTTGTTGAGTGAGATTCCTAGTTCCATTAAGGTTTTCATTGTGTATGACGGTCGAGTTTAAGCTGTTATTTCGCGTATCAGGTAGAAATGTATTGTAGTTTAATGGTGTTGCATCAATGGATAATGGTATTACTCTTACATAATCTCTTGTATAAGATATTGTATTTATTGCTTGACTTGCAATTGATTGTGGGATATTTATAAATGCATAATGAGACCATTCGGGGTCCCAAACGTATACTGACTGTTCTGTGATGGCGGTATCATCGTTTGAATTTTGAGGTCTGAATTTTTTTCTTGCTTGTGAAATTAAATCTATATTATGTGTGAAATAATCTATTATAAACCATGCCAAAATTTTTTGTAAGTCATGTTTTGTATGTTGTGAAACATCATCTTTAGTGAAATTTTCTTTAATTATATGTAGAAAAGTTGAAAATAGTGTGATTTCATGCCGTACCCTTATATGTTTAGATTCTCTGTCGGTGAGACACTGGGGATTGGGATTTAGTTTTCTAATATTTTACATATTTGCGGTGATTCGGGTTTGGTGAGCTGAATTCTATGGTGTAGATTCCGTATTGTTGTGTCAAATTACATATATCTTTCAGATAGTGATCAATAATTTGTCTTTTGATCGTTACATCTGGGAACTCTGCTTTACATGGGCTGATTCCGGGTTCAAATAAATTTAGTAGTAAATTCTTGCAAAGTATATGCTGTCCTCTATCATTGGGTGCATCTACGAGGAAGGGGAAGATATCGTCATCATCTGGACTATCTTCACTTGGAGTGTGTGTTTGGCTCATTTTTTTGTTTAATGACTGTTAATAGGTAATTATCGATGTGTCTAATTGGTTGATTCCAGTTATATAAGTGTACTGGTTTGTGTTTATATTGCTTTTTTATTCGTCTTTTTCCTCTTTTTGATGAATTTGAAGTTGTTTCTGAGTCGGAAAAATATAATTGATCGTGAATGGGGCAATTTTTATCTATAGATTCTTTTAATTTATAAAGTTCGTCTAAATTGCTGGCTTCTGATTCTGAAAATGCGTTTCTATTATTGGAAAATCTTTTTCGTGTTATTTGTCTTTGTTTAGTTATTATTTTCCTTTTTAGTGTTTGTCGTTTTGTTCTGATATATCCAACTGTTTGTGTGTGTGGTGTGATTACAAGGTCGTGTTTTTTGTTATCTATTTCACAGTTGTGTAAAACTATTGTTTGTTTGTTTCCTAGATTTTTAAATGACATAAGGTTTAGGATGACGGATGCAAAAAGTTGTTAGATGATTTCTATTTTCTTAAATTGTTAGTCCTTACGATTTTTTGGTTAGCTTAACCTGGGTCTATTGTTCAGGGTTGGAGAGAAAAGTATATCGATTCCGAAGAATGATTTTTTACTTTCTCGTGGCTAGTATAAGCTAAGGTGTTAAATTACTTAATCTTACTTAGGGGTAATGATTGTGTTCAAGGGTTGGAGAATAGTAAATCGATCCACAAGGTTCAGGTATAATTAGAACGCGAGTAGTTCGTTAGATACTATTTTAAACTTACTAAGTCTACGATTTATCCTGGGTCTGGTAAGAAGAGGGTTCAAGTGAAGGATGAATAACCGAAGTTCTTCACTGTTTATCCTAATTTGAATGATTAGTGTTGTTCAAAAGTTTCTATTAGTCTTGGGTTTTTTGAAAGGGTTGGATAGTGAATCGACGTTGGAGGTCGTTAGACACTAGCTAAGTGGGTGGGGAAGAACAAAATTGTTCTTTTTGATCCAAGGATAGGCCTTGATGATCAAGTTTAAATTTAATTAAATAGAAAATGAATTAAGATCCAAGGATAAGCCTTGATGATCTGATTTTAAAATTAAGTGAATTTAAGTTTAAAATGATTTAAATTTATTTAAGAAAAGATTTAGTGTTTTAATGATATTAGTGAGCTTATGATTGCTGTTATGTTTTAGGTGATGAAGCTGGGACAACTGATGATTTTATGATTACTAACAGTTTATTGTCATGCTACTAATTTTTATTTTGATTTTCAATAAATATTTTCCAAACATGTTTTATATGATACTGCAGATTTTTAAGAAAACGATCTGAGATCTTTTTATCAATCGTTATTGTATATTAATAGTTTTGTTTAGCGGCTGAAATGATTATGAAGATTGACTTCAAGATTTTATGTTTGCGAATGAAAATCTAAATTCATTGCTAATAAAATTCTCAATATAAAAGTCTGTGTTGGCTTTTGCCGTACTATCATATAACTATTTGGTAAGTTTCTACTTTGTCGTATGTCGTCTCTGGTTCGAGGTCTTCTTGCAATTCCGGGTAGTTCTGTTATCGTTCGGAATATTGGCTCTGATCTATTGAGTCGTAGAGACATTTCGATTAAATTATCGTCGTATAACATTTTAAAAATGTTTTGTCTAAATTCTAATCTATTTTTGGTTAATTCTAAGCTATTAAGGTCTTGTTCGAGACTTATGGTCGCACCAGATGAGTTATGACCGATGTGGTTAACTCATAGAGTAATTTCGGATAGGGTACACCGTCTGCTCGTCACGCTATCTTATTTTCGGCCGGATAGATTCGTGCAACTTCTTAGTCTAATACCGATCCTAATCTTACTCTTATACTATCTAGTCTCAGGTTGTTTAACTAGTCTCTGCTAGGCTCAATAGATCTAGGGTATACTGGTTTATTGCGGCTGCTGAAGTTCTCTTGGAGAGACAACTAATTTCTAAGTTAAATTCAAATCTCTCTGGTGCTGAAATTACAAGTAATTCCAGCACTTACAAATAAGTGGGTTGTTAGTTTGATGGATCATGATTGGTTAATATTAAATACTTTACAGTGGTAAAATATCTAATTTATCCAATCATAAAATGTAGTTTAGATCAGGTTCCACCTATTTTGAACACCAAAAACAGCTTTATACAAGAAAAAAAGTAGAAATAAGTCTTGAATTAGTAAAACTTTGCTAGGTATCAACTGTGTTAACTTATTATTAATCAAAGGCCAGAGCTTATGCTATCAAAAAGCCGTGAAGTGCCATTCAAAGTTGCACTGATAGGTGCAACTTAGGTTTGAAAAAAATCGTACTATTGCACTACGCTCTCGAATGTAGAAAAAATATCGCCTAATAACTTTGGACTTTAAAAATATTTAAGCTAAGCTTGAAGAACAATAAAAGAGTGACATTTCGATAAATTTATCTCATGTTGATAAAAAGGATAAAAATCCGACAACTTCGTTCTAAATTGTTGACTCGGGACGCAGTTATACAACTATCAAACGGCTCAAAAAATTCAAAATTTTTGACTCAATTCAAATTAGTTTGTGAAGAGATCCATAAAAACTAATATTTTAACCAATTAATTAGTACGAAAAATTCAAACACAGAAATTGAAGACGGAAAGATACTTTCCAAATTGAAAAACAACCTGATCTTACAGCCCAAGATCGTTTGTGGCATTCTTGCTGCAGAAACTGTGATTTATATTTTCTGGTCATATTTGCCGAAATTTTTAGGTTCTGATGTTGTAAGATCAAATGTCCAACATACTGGCAGTTTTCTCATAAACAGTATCGACGAGAAAAAAAAATGCTGGAATTTGTCAATCAGCTCTATGAAACCAAACAAAATAGGCGTTTTTTAGTTTATTTAAAAAAATCGCCTTAGATTTTACTGATTTTCGGAATCTTTTCCAATGACAATGTTCGATGAAACTAACCCAATTCAGAACAACTACTCAGTGGGTTAGACTTCGTTAAATGACGTGGAGCGGTTGTCTAAATCTTACGTTAAATTAGGTGTAAACGTTATCGATACGTATAATGGTTACACGTTAGGAACAAATTGGCGCTAATATGCTCTCTGACTAAAGTGAGTTAACGTTCGAACTTAACCTTATTTAACCAAAACTCTAAATTCGAAACTGAATCATTCAGATTTGTTCGCACAATTTGCGCTTCTTAGAAGATCAAGTTTAACCTTTTCTATCTTGGCATGCATTCATCAGAACTCTATCATACCGTAAAATGGCAAAAAGAATACTGAGAACAGTTTCTATTTTGCCACTAAATTTATTAACATAAGCAATCGCAAGTCTGCCTACGCTGGAAAAATTCAAAATTTTATGAAATGAAATTGCAATTTAATGCAGAAAAACAACAACAATCATCAGGACCTACAAACTAGTCTGAATCACGTTCATAGACTCTTACTAAATATATATATATATACATACTAATTGAACACAGAAATCGAAGACCAAAGTTCGACACTTAAAAAACACAGAATCGATTTCATATTTAATCGAATTGAAATTTAACCAAAACACGGGAAAATTTGAAATTCGGGCACTTGGTGAAAAAGTAGGTAGAAAAAAAATTATGAAGAACTGTTTTGTTCTTATGCCGTTTACTCTTTCAAAAATTAAATTATTTTTCAAGCATAGAGAGGAGCAGGATTTTGCGTTCTTTCTCTTAAAAAAACTCTTTAAACTACACCTATAAAACTTTTAACCTTGAACACTATCTGCAATGCAATTCACAATTTGGATAGATACAAATTTACAATTTATTTACAAGAAAAACATGAAATTTTTCATCTAAATGTCCAGTTATCGATGGGCAATATGAGGCAGTTTTGCTTGCTTGGGACTATTTCTTTGTGCGACAGTGTCTAGAGACTTGTTCAACACTAAACTGTTGGTCGAAGCGGTCTGGCTTTCTAGGGTCGTCGTTGAAACCGCATGTTTCTGCAGGTCAATTTTATCCAGGGCTTCTTTTATGGCCTGAAAAGAAAGCAGTTGAATAATCAGATAAGCACGCCAATCCTGTGACAGACGCTTCGATTTGCAGAACACTTATCAAAATCTTGCGCGATTTATTACTCTAGAGAAGTTTACAATTTCCATCCTTCGAAATAAAAAAATCCTTCATACGGGTCACATTTCATGCAAGCTTAACCCTAGTATAGTCATGAGATTTCAAACAAATTGAACCCCTTGTACCCAAAAAAAAACATTCCCCTACCCAGAAAAAACAAAGGTATGCTGGAAACGTTTCACTTGCTAATTGACTTCCAGCCAATCAATCAAAAATCGGCATTTTACGTGTTGGCATTTTACTTACTGCTTTAATTTTCCTCAAAATTTAGGGGTAAACATTCACTTTGTTAGTTTTTTTTGGGAGGTGGGAGGGGGTAATTCCGATCTGTTGGTACCTTTGAGGCGAGAGTGGTGCGTTGTGACGGTTCCGTCATGATCTCCAACATCAACAGATTGCTCAGCTTCTTCACCTGGTCGTCATGTGTCACCAGCAGCTGCACTTTCTCCTCCGACTCACGCAGCTCCCCATTCGTACACTTCCACATGTCTGCAATTCTAATAAACAGGCGAAAAAATTGTAATTTAACACAGAGAGGAAGCTGCGCTTTGCAAACACATACAAGAAAACGGCAAAAAGTAGCTCTGAAAAGCCAAAAAAAAAATTAAGATAAAAAATAAGCCGTGAAAAATACAACTTCTATTATCTGCCGGAATCGATCCTCCGACCGAGAGATTAAGAGCATCTGCGAGACTATCGTATTTTATGTGTTCGTGTTTTGGAAGACTGAAATCTACCATAAAACATATTATTACCAATGTCTTTATAAATGTTAAATAATTAAAAGTGAGCAACTAACATTAGCTTAAAATGAAATAATTAGAAAAAGAAATCTTCACTTAAAGTGGGGGCGCTATGAAACAAACTCAGCCAACAGGGTGATATACTACAAGGGGGCTATTCTCATGCACGAAGAACCGAATGCGCGAAAAAATTCGTGAGCGAATGACCGAAAATAAAATAAGCCGAAAGTCAAATTTTAAAAAGAAGCAATTGCCATTCAATTAAATGAAGCAATATTTCGCTTCTTTTATAACGAAACTCTTGAAATATAAAATATGTTCCAATTCGGCGGCGTCAGTGACAATTTGGAAATTTTGCATATTTCTACCGTTTTTATATTTGGCCAATATCAATATTCTAGTCCCTGTAAATGTTTACTTTGTTTGCAAATTTTAGATTACTGAAATCTGATTGGCTGATTTTTATTTTCGCGCATTCGGTCCTTCGCGTATGAGGGATTCCACCATATTATAATAGGTGGTAGGTTCAATTGGAATAGCTGCATCGCTTTTTGTTATACTTCGCACATTATTTATACTTTGTTTCAAAAGCCAAATTTCTTGACCAACAACTCTAAATTTTGAATTTTTGAATAGCATTTCATCTGGCAGAGTAATATATCTACAAAAACTATCTTAGTAGTAATATAATTGATTGAAAATGAATTGACTATATTATGCATTATAGTTCTCAAATTTACTGCATGCGCTACACTCAAAATTACCACCTTTTGTAACATATCACCGCCAACAGACAGTTGGACAAAAGTCAATGAACTCAAGGAAACAGAAAAAATAAATTGACTTCAAAATTCAAATTTCAAAGAAAAAATGTATGCCCTTGAAGCTCTTTGAATTTCAAGAACAATTAGTGATTGTCTTTTTTGATGAAACTAACTCAATTTGAGCAAACTGGATCAAATTCAAGCCGCGAAAAAGTAATTTTCAGCCTGAACAAATTCGAACACTTTTCTGAAAAGCGAAAAAATCATCACGACCTATATAAGAGTCTGAACATGCGCATCGACGCTTAAAATAGTTACAGCTAGTTCCAGCCAACTTTTGAACTTACTCTTTGTTAAACTTCGTCTCCTTCTCCGAAAGATCTTTCAACACTTTCCGATTATCTTTGAACTTCTGTGATACAAACTGCGCATACGTCACATTTTCATCGTCTAAATCAATTGGTTCTTTCTCTTTTCTGATTGGTCGAGCTGTTTGCGGCTTCAATTCAGTTCGACCAATCAGAACTTGGTTTGAAGACATGGTTGACTTTGTGACGTTTCTGCTGAGATAGTTGGCCATTAGTGGACTTATGCCTTGCACGTTGAACGCGTGGTGATCACAGTCGTCTTTAAGATGCATGGGTGTGCTCTGCACAGAAAAAAAATAATGGTGTATTTTGATCTATTTGCAAGAGACCCGAGTCTAAATTTGATTCTGAATCAATCAAACCGCGTCTTGGTCAACAGCTGAATCATTTTCAGCAGGTTGTTTTGAAAAAGTAACCCTTAATGAGTATTTTATTGGTACATTTCAAGCAATAAGCTTTTCACTTTCGATATTAATGAACTTTAAAAACTGCAGATCTTTTGTTACCTTGGTCAGATCTCGTTTTTGTGCACGCGAGGGTTTATATGCATACGGCCTTTCTTTCTCTGTCAATAAAAAAGCAACTGGTGATAACTCTGAACCAATCATAAAATGGTGATAGGTCAGGTCAGTAAACCAATGTACATTCACGGGCAAAGATGTTCGAATTTTTGATTTCAACAAGCAAATGGACATTTTTTCACTTTTTTGTCGTTTTTTTCTGCAACTACAAAATATAGAGAGTTAAAATTTTAACAAATGCTACATGGAACTATTTTTAAGGACTTTGCCAAGGTCAAATTATTAGAGATCTGGTTTCAAAGCCGTAAATTAGCCAGTATATCATAACTACTTTTGGAACGGTTCTTGCTGTTGAAAATGAATTTAGGGGCTCAAATTGGTTTGTTGCGAAGCTGATGAACTTGACTAATTCTTCATGCAGCCGAAAAACGACAGAAAAAAATTGAAATAGTTATTTCTTCCGGCGTCAAAAAAAACTGTCATATCTGTCTGGACGACAGACATTAAAAGTTCTTGGGCGCTTATACCAAAAGTTTGAAAATAATTTAGAGACAAATTAACTGCTATTTAGTATCCTAAGCATGGATCAGCGCAGTTGCTTCTCTTGTCTGACTTTTCTGGCTGCATAAAGAATAATTCAAGCTAATCAGCTTCAACGAACCAATTTGAGCCCATAAACTCCAAGTTCTTTACTTTTTTGCGAGGAAGTTATCACAGCAAGAACCCTTCCAAAACTAATTATGATATACTGGTTAAATGACGCCTTCGAAACTAGATTTCAACCTTTGGCTTGGCTTATCCTTGCGAACAGTTTCAACTAGCATTTGCCAAATTTCAACCCTCTATCTTAAATAATTGTCGAGAAAACGAAAAAAGCAAGAACAAAAATTCGTTCGTTTGCTCATTGAAATCAAACATTTGCAGCTTCTATGTCCCTCAACTGTATCAGTAAACCGAAAACAAGCTTACCAGATCAGTAAGACAAAATCTACATTTATTGCACCATTCAATTATATAATCACATCAGATAAAGAGCAAAAACGCATATTTCTTTCACAAAACAGAAATTTGAGCTAAAAATGCAATAAAAGGACCCTTGACGCGATCCTAACAAATTTATAATAATATTACACCTCAGCAAAATTCCGTTCTATAAATCTTAGAAAAAAGGCAGCTGGAGAAATTATTATGCAATTCGATTTACTGACCTGGTAATCTACTGATACATCGGTTTACCGAACGCATCCCATACAACAGCCAGATATAGCAAATTCGACGAATGAGAGCCTCTAAGTGTTCATTTATAGCCAATATTTCGAAAAAAAAATATTTAATCGAGGGACTTACTTGAAAGATTAAATTGAACTTTTCTTGAGTGGAAAGGCTCAGTTTCATCCCCGCTTGTAGTGTGCATGCTAAAACAAAGACACTTTTGGGTCTTATGCACTAAACGGCCCAAAATCAGTATTTCTACATCTTTCTTGAACTCTAAATATTATGGTTGAACCTGATTGGCTAATCAGACACTCAAATTCAAACAACATTGTATGGCAGTTCAATTAAAATTCAAAGCAGATAGAATTATTGGCCGAAATTAACAAAATTATAAAACTTTGATTGAAGTCATTTTACGAAGTTTTCTCGATCCGAGCAAAAATATCCATGTTACTTGAAAAAAAAAAATTGACAAAGTTTAACATTTTGGTAATTTCGGCTAATATTTTTATCTGCTGCAAGTTTTGATTGAATTGCCTGAACATGTTGCTTGAATTTGAATGGCTAATGTTGGCCAGTCAGATCCGACTCTATAGAACTCATGATATAAAAATTTTGATTTTGGGCCGTTTTGTGCATAAGTTTGATTTCGGGCCATTTTGTGCCTAAGACCCACACTTTTTAGTTGGAATTAACAAAAAAATATATATGAATTATCTCACGGAAGCAACAAACAGATATGTTATATTCACACCTTCAAAAGTTAATTAACTGCATTTTGAAACAATTCAGATACTTAAGATGAGGTCTATTAGTGCAAAAGACAAACATCGTCAACAAACAATTGGAAAAGAGTCAATGGACGAACTGAACAAGAAAAAAAAACAGATTTGCTTTCAAATTTCAAACAAAAAAGCTCTTAAAGGTCTTTAAAGCTCTTTGAATTTCAAGAAAATTTTATGATTGACACTTTTTGGATAAGAATAACCCAAGTTGAGATCACATCTCATCGACGTCAAACAGCAAAGAAGAAACTAAGCAAGGGCAAACTTAAAGACTGAAGATTTAATTTTAAAAAAAGCATACGAAATTTCACTTAGCGGCGAGAAGCGTAAAAAATACGCACCAATAAGATACAAAGCAAATAAATTAATCAAAACCAGACTTCAAAAATTACGAAAAAAAGCATAACTTTCGAAAAAAAAAGCACTGGAAGCCCCCCCCCCCCCCACACACAATTTATCGAAAATAAATTCTTACCGTTAAGTGAAAAAGCCCTAGTAGCTCTCAAATTTTCAAAATATGAAAAGTTAGGAATGTATTTAAATAATTGGGACTAACCAATCTGCAGATCTAAATTTGCGAAATTAGACACTTGAAATAAAAAACAATATCTTGTGACAGTTGGCTAGTGTTCATGAACAAGGAAATAGAAAATGACTGAGTTTTCTCTATTTTTCACCTTCTGAGTTTCAACATAAAAGTATATCACTCTAAGTCTCTTTGAAATTCCATATTTTTTCATGATCGACTCTTTTTCGATAAAATTAACCCAATTGAAAAATTGGATTAATAAACTCATGAAAACAAAAGAGGGTGTTAAGGTTAACTTTCACTGGTGTTCTAGCAGAATATAACGACAATCAGCTTGAAAAAAAAATAACATGGCCTACAGATGGTTGGAAAAGTGTACACAGAGGCGAAGCTGAGCTGCGCACCACTTGCGATACAAAACAAGAAAGCCGCTTAGTCTGAAAAAAAATCGAAAATATCCAAAAAACTAGATCTAACAAAACAGGATAATTTTCATATAAAAAACATGCGGGCCCGCAAAACTCAGACACGCACACACAAATTCTTTTCGCTCGTCGACAGACGCAATATGGCCATGAATCCGATATAATATAGGCCAAAACCTATCAAGACGAAATAAAAAAACAGCCGAAAAAAATTGTTATCATGAAAAACTTGAACTAGAATTTCTATTAAGATTTTTAACATTTTATGCAATGTAAAGGTGAGCATAAAAATTTTGTTTTCCTTGAAATGAATTGAAATTAGGTCAGTAAGCCGATAAAAAAAATAGGCCGAAATCATTTGGGCAGAATAAAGTTTTTAAGCAAAAAAAATAAAAAGTCAATGTTAGTAAAATTACAAACAGCAGAGGTAAATCAGAACACTAAAAGCAACTATAACGTAAGAAACTTGAAAAAAAAACAATTCTATAACATGACAACTAAGCCGACATAACATAAACAGACAAATAATGAGCCGCCACTTTTTGTGAAACGGAATATTTCCTGTTTGAAACGAAGCAGGCCTTTTCAGATTCAAACCCAGGACCTTTGCCGTCCCAGGCTTATTCGTTACCTCCAGACCAAGTGTGTTGGAGTCACAAAGAATTAGAATTAATTAAGAACTGAACATAAACTTACCATTTCTAATTTTGACCATTCTGTACCTCAAGTTATTTACGGGACAAAAATTCTAGTACCCGATTGCAGTACCCAGTTAAAAAGAACAAGAAAGCCTATTTAAAAAGTGATTGAAGATTTCTGAACATACTCAACTATCGTTTTTGAAAAAAAAAGTACAAACGTTAAAGCTCCTTTAATTGCAAAAAATTCTTTATGACTAGCACTTTTTTCCTAGAAAATTCTATTTAGCGAAAACTGAATCAACAGGTTTTTTTCCATTCTGATGGGAATTTCACATAACAATTTTGCTGTTCGATAGTGGGGTTTGCCTTCCTTTCAACAAAAAAAAAACAAAAAAAATGAAGTTAAAAAGAAATCAAAAGTCAAACCACGAAAAATTAAATTTGAGTTAAAAAAAGTTTCCTGAAAAACATACAAAAAAAATCAAAAATAAAACACACAAGTGAAGAAAACTCAAGAGCAAGGCGAGAGTCGTGTGGTATAAGCTCACGGACAATAAATGTCAGAATAATTTTAGTTGCTAGTACCGTCGCCATATAGCATCAGCATTGAATTTATATACTCGTATGTTCAAGTTTCAACTAACTTTCTAGAGCAAATGCCAACAATAAAATGCCAGAACTTTTTCAACTGGAGCACACTTCGTCCAACTATAGGAATTTTTCGTCTCAATTTGAAATTCTTGGTTGAGGGTAAGTGGTTGGATGCGCCCTATATTATACTTATTTCCATTTAAAAAAGAATTTAGGGTTATTGCGCAAGATAATGTAGCTCAGGCTATGAATATTAAATTTTATTATTTCAAAGCAAACAGTTTTTTTAAGTTAAGCACATGGACAAACTCAACCAAATTTAGCCAACGCAGAAGTTTAAAATGCCTTCAAACTTGCAAAAACCGTCCCATTAAAATTCAATCACCCTTGCTTTTATTAAACCACCATTTGAAAATTCACTTCGGTTTTTTAATGGTTGAACCTATCCATTCGTTCTACTTATGATATGAATTATGGATTAAACTCAGGTATTAAATTCGTACGCAAATCGCTTGATTTGCAGCGGAGACATAATAGTCCTGAAATACAACACAAATAAACATTAATAGTTAACTCTAAAATGATGTTTAAAAAATTACCTAAAACAGCTGATAATAGAAACCCACTGCGAGTATGTTCAACACAGAAATCAACTCAAAGAAATTGATTCAAAATGTAACTTTAAATGTTGATGAAAAACGATGAAAACTTAAGCTACAGCATTGAATAATGCCGCTTTACATATCTACGGATAGATAATGACGTCCTTATAATTGCTTCTATCCCGACTCATAGTCACATTTCAAATACAACAGTTATACACAATCAATTTGAACAAAAAAAGTAGGGGACAAAAATACGGGAGAACATTCACCTGTGCTTCGAATCTTTACGAGAATGCGACTCATGTTCGGTTCCAACAGTTGCGAATACTGCATTATGACGTCTCGTGCGACTTCTAGAGCTGCTTGATCTGGCGTCATCAATACTCTCCAGATCTTCAGAGAATGTGACAACATTCGAAGTAGCTGAAATCCAAAAGCGGTCTTGCCTCTACTGCATTTCAGAAACATCCCTGTCTGATATTTCAAGGACAGTTTCTGTTAACTTATAGCCCCCCATTAAATAAAAATCCTTGTTATGGGGCTATTACTTTCTTGTTTCTGTGCTGGAGGAAAATACCCAAAGCAAGTCAAGTCTTGGATCACAAATAAAGCCAACAGAAAAAATGGCAACCAATATGTAAGTATAACTCCTCACCGCTTTTAGACTTTCTTGCTGAATCTGACTCAAAATCCGCCTTCAGATCTAGAGGCTCCAAGTCTGCGATGCTCCACTTCTTATGGTGATTATATTCCGCTTTGCATCCTTAACAAAAAGCTATGTTTCAAGTACCTCAACAATTCCGCTGATTTTTTTCAAGATTGGTTTCTTGTATTTCAATCGCTCTTTACTCAAAGAACATACTGGGTCAGTTGTCCCTGTCAGAGAGCTATTAACTGACAGAAGAACTAGCTTTTTGATCGGCCAGCCCAGCCAAGAACCTATCTAAATAATTGTATAGGAAAACTTCTTTGCTCAAAACTAGTCTGAAAACCAAAAATAATCAGACCAGTTTTTCTCAACACTGAGAAAACTTTTAGATTTTTTAAAATAACGATCGAATCTCGACTGGAAGGGCTTGAATATGATACATTTGCGTGGTCAGAAATATTACCTGTGAGCCACAGGAAGACTTTGGAGGTGATGTTGTTAATGAATTTGTCGTTGAATTGTCTCCACGATGCGGGGAACGTATGACAGAATGCACAATACAGAGCCTGGCTCAAAATGTCTGGATAGTTCTAAACACAAAACAAATGTCAACGATAAGTCGAGAAGGATCATTTAGCAGACACTTTGGGTTTAAGAATAAAACTTGGCAGAAAAAGAACTATTTGTACAGTTGACCTAAAGCCATGGTCACTAAAAAACAACTAATATATTCTAAATGCTCAATGATAACTTGATTGCAGGGCGAATTCCAACAGATAAAATGTTCACAAGACCTTAAAAACTAAAAAATACAGCCAACAGACAGGTGCAAAATGGTCAATGAACTCAGAAAAGACAAAATAATACTTTTTTTTTAATTTTCGAAATTCGTAAAAAAAACATTATATCACGTTGAAGACCTTAAAATGTCAGAAACGTTTTTTGACTAAAACTTTTTTCATACCACTAGCCCAATTAGATAAAACTGGATCAATAGATAATTTTTTATTCTGCTCGGAAATTAACAAATTAAAATCCTCTGTCGAACCTAAATGTCAATTTCCTTCCATTTCGCAAAAAATTTATATTGAACTTAGAAAGAAATCAAAAGCCAAATCGCAAAATGCGTGATCCTGAAAAACAAACGCCCTCAATGAGTGTCTGTTGATCTCCAATTTTTTTCTACTTGAAAAAGTATATTTTTCAATTACTTTTTTCTGCATTGCCGCTCTTGCATTGCATGTCGTACTATGTTTATCGTACTAAATACTTAAACCAGAATAGCCAACTAACTCTTACAGAAAGGTGCTCCACCTGCACACCTGTCAAAGCCACCTATACTAGTCAAATCCCCCCCCCCCCCCCCCACCTAACACCCATATCAATTCACGGAGAACAGCGTTAACTTCGTGAAAAGCCATCTTTTTGAGCCAATTAGAATCCAGCATTTTAAAGATATGGGTCGTATTGCATAAATTTTTTAAAATAATTTTCGGGGGGTTATCGCTCACTTGGTAACCCTAGGGGGGTAATGGTTCACATGGTTCTTAGGACAGTTATGATATCTTTCCAACGTTTAAGGACCTTGAAAAATGCATTTCGATATCTGACTGTTCTTTCGCTGCTTGCAGGCTGCCACAGAAACTTCACATAATTATCCGACACTCTTCTAAGAAGCTTGTCCAGGGTTGACTCATTGTGTGCATACTTATCAGAGAAAAACCACCAGAACAGATCCTGAAATACCATTCACAGTTTCATACAAAGAAAAAAATTAAATTAACCTGTTAAGAATTTTCATACAAAAATGGTTCAACAAAAAACAAAATCGAATCATCAAAAAGAAGAAAAACAATATCACGATCTACAAGATATCAGACACTTTGTTTAATCAGACACTTTGTTCAGACGCTACTATTTCGAGGGTAGAAAGTCGAATATAATTGAGAACAAAGTTCACAACACTACGGTGGTTCAACCATCGGGCGATCATTGACGGAATGACGTGATATGATAAGATACTTAAAGAAGGTAGATACCCTTTTGTACATTGTCTTCAAAAACTAAGTGATTAAACTTTACCCGCGCTATGTCCACAGACAAGTCGCATAGCAGGAAGTGCTGCGCCTCTGATTCGTATGTCTTCTAAAAAGAAACACAAAAGATCGTTTTTATGTCCAATTTAGATCTTCATTGTTTATGTTGTGTGAATCTGAGACACCACGAACAGCAAAAAAGGCAAAAAAATACATTTGATCCATAAAAAGGGAAAAGAGTCGATCTCCATAAAACACTGAACAGCTCGTATCATAAACACAGCTCGTATCCTGGTCCTTTCCCTCGTGCGTAAATGGTCTTAATAATTTTTTTAAATGATTTTATGGTTATTGGAACAGTGAATGTCTGAAATAATGACGAACTATTGGGTTGATGACATCCAAGTCAAATTTTCAATAAAAAATGACAAAATAAACTGGAAAATATTAGTGAGACAATCCTTTATATTAGCCAATTGTCATGAGAAAAGCTCCAGCCCGGAACTCATCTACTAAAAATATTTCCAATCAAAGCAGATCTTGCATTGCTCGAGACTGGTGTGTTGTATCTGAGATTCGAAAACGGAATACAAAACACACAACATCAAATGAGAGAGCAAAACGAAAGTCAAAAAGAAAGCACATTTAATAAAAATTTTTGAAGGACTGGAGGAACAAGGGCAACGGTTTTACTCGCAAATACAAGCAATGGCATATTGAATTCTGAAAATTTGCGATTAATCGTGATACAACATACAAAGCATTCCAAACCGCCCGACATAGAATTAAACGAAAGTAGCTAAATCGAAAACAAAGTCGACAGGAGTCAATGAACAAACGGAAACAGAAAAAAACTGTCTTTTTTTCTCAAAAAAAACTTCAATTTTCGACCTTCAAAGCGAAAATTATATGCTCTTTGAAATTAAAAAACAATTTATGATTGACACTTTTTTGATAAAACTAAACTAACTTGAAAATACGGGATCAAAAGGTAAAGCCTCAATTCCGCTGGAAAATCTGAGAAAGAAAATCCTCTTTCGAAATTGATCACGTTTTTCGTGACCTCTAACTTTTACTGTTCGATAGTGGAATTTAAATCCTTTAAACAAAGGAAATGATTTGAGTTTAAAAAAATCAAAGCGCGAAAAATCAAATTTGAGCGGGAACAAATATCAAGACTTTTCGTGAATAAAAAATCATCGCGACCTATATAAGAGTGTGAACTACGTTCATCGACCCTTAAAAAAGCAAAAAAAATAACCTTCAAAGGCAAACACATCTCCAACGCTTGAAAAGTTAATCTCTGTCAGTGAATTCTGTTGCCAAAATAACTAAATTGTGCATAAAAACTGCACAACGAATCGTTCCACTCTGGTCTGTGTAAACAGCCTTGCCTCAGGAATGCGGTCTGTATTTAGACAACAGCGTATTCATACTCGTCAGTTAGCAGACAAATACTATATTAACCGATCAGAATCGAGATGAGAAGGCAAATTTATGAAATAAATAATTATTAATTATCAATTTCTTCCTTGTCTCGATTCTGATTGGTTAATAAAGTATTTGTCTGCTTACTGACGAGTATGAATACGCGGTTGTCTAAATACTGCTACGTAACCCTTGCCTTAAATGTCAGCTGTGGTTATGCAGAAAGCCATCCTATAATAATATAAATTTGACTTAAGTAGTAATTACCCAAATAACATCCTGCAATAAAATAGCCTTGCCTTAAATGCCAGCTGTGGCTGGGCAGAGAGTGCAGTCTGGAGTATGAGTCGCATGTTGGTGTCTCCTGGCAGGGCATTGGTGCAGTGATCCAGGAAGCCCTCGTAGCGATACAACTCGGCTAGTTTGGGCCCCGAGTCGTCATTCAGTTTGTGGCCTCCACCGCGCCCAAGGGCTGAAATATACTCAATCATGAGCTTTTGTCTCTTTTTTTTCAAGGTAAACCTGAAAACTTAAAATCAACCAAGCATCGAAATTAGTTAGATGTTAACTAATTTCAAAACGCCAAGCACCAAAACGGCCTGAAAAGATTTATGGTTACTAATTGCAAAAAATAGCAAGGATAGCCGGTCAATTTGCAATTAGCACAAAATGTTCCGACCACAATGATTGAAGCAGAAAAATTATAACAACAATTTAAACACAGGGGCCAAGCTAAGCTTCGCACCCTTTGCGATGCAAAAGGGAAAGACTATAATTGAAATCAAATAGAAGAAAAATGAAAAATAAATTCTTAATATCGTTTTCGTCAATAAAAACTTTTACCTGCAAAAATTGTACCTAAAATATTTTCTGCATCATTAAAATATTTACTAGAAGCTTTTGTTGTGATAGAAAAAGTCAAATTTTCGAAAAAGTCCTTTCTGTGGGATTAAGCCGACACAATCTAAACTAGCGCAAAATTGTCAGTTGGCAAAAATAACAGATATCGACTGGAATCAAACGGGTTTTGTCTTTTCAATCATGGGCGATACAGCAACTTGGAAGAAAGCTGAACTTTCAAAACAAAGTCGGGCTGCGAGAACTTGGCGCACAAAAATCTTCAGACTGAATGCTCCGGAAAAGCACGACTCTAGCTTGCAAAAAAACAGGGCCGGATTCGAACTGAAAGCATTTGCCGTCTCAAGCAGTTGTACAACCTCCACGTCAGATGCGACGGAAAACTTATTTGATTTGAATTTATAATAACTAAGCGGTACTAAAGGCGAATTTACCTCAGCAGATAGCCTTCAAGCCGAAAAAAAAATCAAAAAACAAATCTTAATTAATTTAAAAAAAAATTAAGTCCCCTTCCTTTCAGAACTCATACAAGCGCACACATTTTTTTGGTCATCAAGCGACACAATAACAGGCTACTAAGTCGATAAAAAAAGAGCCGAAACCTATTAAGCCGAAAAAAAAGAAAACTTTAGCATATCGAGTAGGTAAAATTACAACCAACATAAACAGTAAATTCCGATTAGTCTGGATATTTAAATTGTCTGTTGATATGCTCAAAATATGTATGTTGCAACAGAAAGGCCCAGAAGAAAAAAACGAGTCCAGTAGACGAGTCTTATGAACAAAGTTATTTACGAGAAAAATATTGCAAGGGTAAAAAAAATCAAAACTTTCCAGTTAAGGGAGTTTTTTTTTTTAGCTAAGTGCGATTGCATTAGTTTAAGAAATTTCAAAAATAAGCAGATTGCCTTTTAAAATGTTTAAACTGCAGTAGAATTATTTGATCGATTCTCATCGCCTCTTTGTAACTTTCGCGTCAAACCTGAAAGACGGAAAAATTATTCTCGACACAGACAATTTCTTTGATCTTTGTTGCTTTGAATCCGAATCACCATCAATAAGGCTTTAATATAGTAATACACTTGACCACCTGTCAATTTTCATACAGCTACAAAAAAGGGGAACTTTACTGTTGTGGTCGGAACAATATCCTAGCCAGACTGATTTATTCTCAATGTGATGATTTGAATACGGTACCGCGACAACTCACAACAAAATACAACTTGAAAATTAATTTATACACAGAGGCGAAGTTGCACTTCGCATACACAAGCAAAAACATGACCGTTAACGCTACTGGAAAAAACTGAATGATTAAAAATTTGAATTTACAAAATTTCCTAAGTGACGCACGCCAATTATAAGTCTACATAATTGCTAAGTGACGCAAGCCAATTATGACGCAGTAGCAGTCAATTTGAAAAGAAATTTACCAACTAACATGCCTCAATTTAAAAAGCGGAAGCACTTTAACTAGTATACGAAAAAATTCATTGAAAAATCCGACCCTGCCCAGTTTCGAACCCTCTTATGTTGCTGCTGGTCTCCTTCCCTACCTCTACGCTACAGAACCATGATACCATTAACCCAAAGTGCTATTTGTAATATAATAGTCTGTGTTAATATCCATAGCATTGGCTGTACTTAATAGCTGGATCAAAATGAACACATTTTGTCGCAACAATTACATCGTAACAATATTTACGACTTAGGTTGGAAAAAAAAAGAAAGTTCAAACTTTAACACAAGCAATGCTTGTGTAAACATAAAATTTCGGTTTAACGTTGCCGGAGGGCGCATAATGCGCGCGTCGCTGCTTTGAGGCGATAACAGGCTCCAAATTTTCTAATGAAGCCCTATCCTCTGCTGGCAATTTTGGGACACGTTATAAAAAAACGAATAGACAAGTTTTAAGAGAAAACTTACCGGTGTCCAGTCTGAGTTTCTGGACAGCCTTCTGGGCAAAGGCGGAGCTGAACTCTTCCACTTCTCTTTGCTCCTTCTCTGAAAACACGCAAAACCATTACTACAATTGGCCGATTGAATCTCAAATTGAAACAGAGTGGCCACGTCTAGATTGACACGTATCATTTTCCCCAAACAATCTGAATCTCAGGACGAGCCTAAAAATTTTCAAATTCAGAGAAAAGCTTAGAAAATTGAAGGAAATAGATTTATAGTTCAGCTGGAACTTAACAGATTGTTCGCATTGAACTCCCCAGAGAAATCCGCGCACAACATAAACTGATTTTAAAGATCCGAACCTTTCAACAAGAGCCGAAAAAGACAAAATCCCAAAACAAAAACATATTTTGATCAGACAATGCTGGCAACCGCAGGTCATCAAAGTGTTTTGAGATGGGTTCAAAAATTTATGACTCAATTTTAAAAAATGAGACCACCCATCCCCATGAAAATTCTAGATCCGCCTATGGTCTTCTCGCTCGCATTTTTTCGAGCCCGATTTCATTTTAATATTCAAAACCCGTAGCCACCCTGCACATTACACTATGGATGTGAAAGCTAATGTTTGTCATCTTCAACTAAACAACTGCTGGAATTTACCTTTGACGTCTTGAAAGAGCGAAAATAAAAGTGCAAATGAAGTGATTAACAGCACGCACAAAATTCTCCATTTATCTAACACGATTCGGCTCTTTTCCAGTCCCCCCCTTTCAAATTCAATTTTGAAAAGTCTATTTAACGTTGTCATAATGCAATGAAAATTGGCGTGGTGAACAAATCGACAATTCTGAACAGATGTTCTTCATAATTTACAGCGTAACGTCACACATTTAGCCGTAATAACACGTAAAACAAACATAAAACTCGGTATTTTTAAAGGGGGGACTGGAAAAGAGCCCACGATTCAAGCAGTCTATCATACCTCTGTTGTCAGAAGAATAAACTACACGAAAAATGAAAAGTGAGATCACAAAAATTGATCAGAAACCTACAGAATTATCCTGATTACCAGGGCACGGATTTTAATTGCTTAAAAGTCCCTTTTCCTTTAAGAAAATCAAGTTAAATAGTAAGTTAAAACCATCAGATTATACTTTGTCAACGTGAGAGGACAAATTTTAACAGGAAACTCCTCTCTTTAAATATCCTTCTACCCCCATGGTACAAAAAATATCCATACGTACAAAAAACAAATTCAATGGTTAAGCATTTTGGAATAGCAGGGAGGGGTTAGCTTAAAAACTCCATAGTTGCTGAAAAAAGTTCGCAAAAATTCCTGACAGTAAACCCTGCAAAAAACACTCATTCACCTGCATACCTCGTGTCGGATGCAGGCGCAGCTGAGCGAAGCGGAACAAGCGTTCGCTACTTGCCAACACCATGTTAAGAATTTTCGCTTATTACAAACTGTCGCCTAACCATTTGTCAATACTCGACATAGGTGTGAACAGAAAACTTTAGCCTTAATGCCTAGTTAATAACTAGCAACTTAGTCATTAAATTAGAATCCGAGCCCTGCTTTTTTGACTACAAAACGGATGTTGCTACACTATTCAGACAAAAACAACAAATGATAAGATAAAAACAACATTGGCCGCTACTTCTCACTTCGCAGTCCATCAATATACTCACTCACCAAATTCATACTTAGCAATTTGCGCCCGAGACAAGCCTTTTATAAAAATCAATGGTTATTTCAAATTTACAGTTTATATTGTACTAGAAATATATCATAGAAGCCATTGCTTTCCATTTTTCGCCCGCTATTTCCTTTAAATAATAGACCATCTTTTATATGTTTCAGTCAGTGAATTGAACATCGCCGAAAACCAGTATACAAACAGTCGATTGCTTCCTGTGGTTCAACCGTAAAACAGAAGCTGGGCAACAAACAATTTTACACACAGTGAGTTATGACCGAAGTGTATAACTCATAGAGTAATTTCGGATAGGGTACACCGTCTGCTCGTCACGCTATCTTATTTTCGGCCGGATAGATTCGTGCAACTTCTTAGTCTAATACCGATCCTAATCTTACTCTTATACTATCTAGTCTCAGGTTGTTTAACTAGTCTCTGCTAGGCTCAATAGATCTAGGGTATACTGGTTTATTGCGGTTGCTGAAGTACTCGGGAGAGTTCAACTAATTTCTAAGTTAAATTCAAATCTCTCTGGTGCTGAAATTACAAGTAATTTCAGCACTTACAAATAAGTGGATTGTTAGTTAGATGGATCATGATTGGTTAATATTAAATACTTTACATTGGTAAAATATCTAATTTATCCAATCATAAAATGTAGTTTAGATCAGGTTCCACCCATCCGGGTTTTACAGAGTTTTTTAGAATAGTTTTTCTGCAATTCGAAAGATGGATGATGGACGTTGGTATTTGGCGAACATCTTATTTCTTCTGGGTTTTCTTATTAGAGAAGTCCCAGATTCAATCATTGTGTCTTCTCAAGACAACGACTGGGTTTTCGCAACAAACTCAAATCTGATTTCAGAATGGTTGGCTATGTCAGGTTTTTCTGTTTCATTGGTGAGAACTTCTTTGTGTTTGACCTTGTCTGGGAATGGCGTGGAGATTGTGCGTGGTGGGGATGCCTGGATACTCGGATCTGTACGTATACTTGAACATCGAGGTGGTCATTGGTCTAGTTCAATGAAGTCCTTTTCTGCGAAGTCAAGTCGTACTCTAAATCCTTTGAGTTGTGATTGTGGGCGGCATATTGATTGTAGTTGGCCATTCTTTCTCGAGTGTAGTAGGGTCGTTTTGTCTTTGGATGTTCGTCCTTGGTGTTGTATTCTGATCTATGTATTGCATATTGTAATTTACATTTTATAAAACTTTTATTAGTTTAATATTTTTTAATTATGATTTTAGTTAGTTGTTTTCACAAAAGCTTTTTGTTTTAGTTCAATTATTTTGAAGAGTTACTCACCCTTGAGTAGCTCTTATTAAAAATAGGAGTGTGGTCACAAAGCGTGGATGTAGCACGGTGGGTTAGGCCGGCTATAGAGCATGCTCAGGACGTCCTTCCTGGTGGGTTAGGCCAGGAGTGGGAGTATGATTGCATGCGGTTTTTGTGAGAGGTCCTGTTATGTGACAACGTTTTATGTTGGGTTTGTTGTGGTTTTTCTTATGTTTTGTTGGTTGTGTCCTTTTTTCAAAAATCAAATTGTTTGTGGTATGGGTTTGTCTTTCGACTTTTTTGTGTTTTATTATTTCTTTCTTAGACTTTATAATAGTCTTCAAAAGAATAAATTATCCAGTTTTAAACTGGGTTAATCCGGTTTGGGTACCGTTGGTTTCCTTTTCTTAGTCATGCTGTTATGCTATGTGTTGTGGTGTTTAGTAAGCTGCATTGGTTAGTTTTGTTTAGTATATAATTCCTTTCCAACCGGGTTAAAGGAAAGTTTGAAACGTGTTATCTTGTGTTAGAGTTATCGAGTGTGAAAGCTTGAAACTGAAATTCATTATTTTAAACAATTCTTCGTGGGCGAGCTGTGCGAGTGTGGATAGAATTCTTATGCGAGTGAATGAAAATATCAAAAGGTTAGTACTGCTTTTGCTTCTTATGAATTTACTACATAGAATTTTAATTTTACTGCTAGTTGTTGGGGGAAATTAAGTTACAAATTTTCATCATTATTAGATTTACTGCTGGTGGGGGAAAAATTTATAAATTAATTTACTGCATTGGTATTATATTTATTTAATTGTTGGTGCAAAAATTTAATAGGGTTTTAAACAGTTTTGAAGAAGTTTGCTATTTTTTATTTTTCTTTTGTGAATTTTTCAGATGATCGTTGGATGAAGGCTAAAATTCTAAAGAAAACATGGATAAAGAATGGTGAGTTTCTAATGTTTGAATTAATTAGTAATATGTATAATTCATACTTACCTGTTAGTCATCGGGGAAGAACCCGTGGGGGAAAATGTCGTGAATGAGATCTGAAGTTGTTAGTAGTTTGGCTAATATGCGGATGATATTTTTAGTTTGAAGCAGTGGCCAAAGCAATTGAAGTGCCTTAATTGTGGTTAGTTCTTCAGTGCCAACTGCAAATTCATAAGGTGTGTTTTGGATTAGATTATATAATTTGTGGTTGAATTTAGTGTTATGGATGAATTCTAAAATGGGGATTTCTATAGGTTGTACAAACTCGTGTGGGATGAGGAAGGGTCGGGATTCTTCTGCGTTGAAGGTCTTGGTGATGGGACAAAAGATATACATTTGGGTTATGGGATCATAATTTCGAAGAATACCATGAAGGTTAGTATCTTTAATGCAATATGTGAAGTTAAGAAAGGATGGTGAGGTGTATTTGGAATTGATGAATTGAAAACGATGGTGTGGTTGTCTGGAGGGAGTGTGTAGGTCAAAGTGATTTTGGATGAAACGATAATAAGTATATGTGTGTGTTTGTTTAGTGCGCAACATAATATCGTGTGAGCAGTGCAAATCTCTTTCATGTGGTGCAAGGAAATGAAAGGTTAGTGAAAATATTTGGAAGCGTTCTTTAAAACTTTCGTAGGCTTGCGTGTCTGTTAGTGCTTCTGAGATAATGTGGTCAAACTTGCGATCGAAGATATTTAGTGTAAATACATATGGTGTTTTAATGAAAAATTTCTCGGTGATTTGTGGGTTAGCGAAGCGATCGTCGTCTAAGAATTGATCTTGGTTAGTTCTGATGATGTTATGGTCGTAATATTCTAGTGTATATTCATTAGCTCGGGGTGCAGTGTGTGTTTTTAGTGATTTTTTGTATCCAATGTAAGTAAATTGTCTAGGTGTTAGTGGTGTAGTGAGTCGATATAGCATGTCCATATTTCGTTCTATATCGATATGAGTGTTAGATAAAGGTAAGCAAAGGGGATTTGTAAAATGATAATATGAGGTCCAAGGAAGGGTAGGCATTAAAACGTATTCGTCTACAAAGTTACGTGTCTCGTTAGTCATGAGGTGTGTTTAAGGTGTATTGTGGAAATGAGGGTAAGGTGATAGCTAAAAATTCTTTTGTGTTAGTGTGTTGTGGATGGTTGATGTATTCACGGGCTGTTCCTGGTTTCGCTGGGAAAGGATGGTTGGGGAACTTCCTTTTAAAAGTGCGGTAAGCTCTATTAGTGCTGAGTGAAGATACAGTAGTTGTGGATGATGGTGCTAATGAATCAGTATAAATTGAAGAGGGTGTAGGGGTAGGAGGGTTGGATGAATCTATTGTGGATGAGATTTGGTTTATGGTTGGGGTGTCAAGGTGATAGGATTGTTGTTGTAAGGTAATGAAATTATCTAGTTCTGGGGAGATTCGGGGGGTGTCTGAAGAATGAGATGATTGGTTTGAGTGAAGTGAGGAGTAGGTTGGAGTGACTTGGGAAGCATAAGAGGGTGTAGAATTGGTTGGGTCAGGGTTATTTGGTAGTATGGGTTGAAAAGGGGGTTGGGAGAAATTTAAGGGATTGGTGTGAAAATTATTTGATGGAGATGGTTCGGAGTCGGCAAATTCATCGGGGGTTTCAATATTCGGGTTATTGAGTTGTGAGATGGAGTATAAAACTGAGATGTGTGAGTTAGTATCGGAATTCATGCCGGATGTTACATTACTGGATGGGAAGTCGGGTGGCGGAAAAGCAAAAAGTGGTATTATTGGGATTGGAGTGGTGAGGTTGGTTGGGTGGGAATTTGATCGGTGTAGGGATCCAAGTTGTCGGCTCATCGTGGGCTAAAAAAATTATTATTTTGAGACTGAAAAGCGGTGGTATGGGGTTGTTCTATAATTTGTTCATAAGTATTTTCATCTTGTGAGTGGTGTGGCATTATATGTTGGATGGGACTTTGTGATATGGTTGGTCTAAAATTATTATGTGTTATGGCTAAATTTCGAAAATTACGTGGGACTAGGGATAATGGATGGTTATGTGGTAGGGGTGGTAACTGTGGTGCTGTTGGTGTTGTGTCTGCATTGTTATGTTCTTCGTCGTATGTGTTCTGTCTTGTTGCTATCTTTGTGTTATATTCTTTTATTTGTGCGTCTAAAAGAATTTTGTTTATAGATGTAGAAAATATTCCAAAAAATCCTGCAAATAGTATGCGTGCTACACTTGCTTGTCGATTGACTTGTGTGTGTATAGCACATGTGTTATAGATTCCTTTTAAGAGTGAAAAAAGAAATCCAATAAAGTTAAACATTGCGTATAAAATAGTTAGTTTTTCTAAGATGTAGTAGGGCCATCCTAGAAAATCAAGAATTTCATTCTTGAGTGTAACAAAGCTAAAAATATTGATAGGTGATATATCTTGGGGACGGTATTTTTCACCGTTTAGATATATATAATCTTTAATGTCTTTAAAATATCCGCTATAGTCTTGCGTATAGATGTCTGCAAATCCTGCGGTTTCGGCAAGTTTGCGTAAGTTTTGGTCAATTGATTGTCTTTGTATTGTGTCCATTTGTGTTAATAATTCCTGGAATTGTTGTGTTCTAATGTGATGTTGAATATCTGATTTTGAGTATATTCCTATTGATTGTAAGTCTATATTTGGGTTTCGAGCGATAGCGCGAATGCTTTCTGGTGAAAATTTTTTGAGTGATTGCATTAATGTGGGATATGGGGTGAGAAGGTAATATTTATCTTCATCAGGGTTTAGTTGTACTACGTTGTGGCTATTTTC